TTGTTAAAAAATAAACAAGATAGTGACTATTATGAAATATGGAACATTTGGTATGAGTGGCTAAAGAAAAAGTAATATCTGATATTTGGATAAGTTATGGAAATGACAGAAGACGTGCATTTAATCATAAACTATATAGAGAAATTAAAACATTAAAAGAACGAAGGAGTTACTGTAACAAGGCAGATCAAGTCAATGATAAAGATAAAGAAAAAAAAATTTAACCATTGCTCAGTATATGCTGTAAAATGTATATATGTACCGTGTTTCTCCAACAATACGGCCTCCACCAATAGGAAGCCCCAGCATGATTTATTGGCATAAAATCAAATTAAGCCCCTCCCCCCAAATTAAGGCCCTTTTTAAACATGCGAAATGGGGGGGGGGAATGGCGGGGGGGGGGCTTGCTGTTAGGAAGTACTTTGTTGCATGCCCGGATATGGTGCTGCCTGCGTTGGTGGAGCACTTCATATCGGGAGACCTTCCGCCACCGTTGCTTTCCCTTCTCCCTTGCTGCTGCGGCATTACAGTAACGCCTCGGCGTTTGGCGCAGCCATGTGCAGCCGGTCAGGGCTCCTCCCTGCAACCGGAGCCCTGAGGAGACACTTGGCTTCAGGCGCTCCTGTGGCCGCCTTCCCTTTGCCTTCAAACCTCCGCTCATCCCATCAGGGCCGCGCCGGAGCCGTGCGAGCTGAGCAGAGCCGGGAAAGCGAGCCGCGGGTGTTTCCTGGTTCTGTCCAGCCCACACGGCTCTGCCGCGGCCCTTGTGGGATGAGCAGAGGTTTTTAAAATAATTCACTTTACCTTCGAAGGCAAAGGGAAGGCGGCCACAGGAGCGCCTGAAGCCAAGTATACCAACAACAAAAGGCAAATCCTAAAGGTGGGCTGGAGGGAGGTGGCTACGTGTCCCCCGGGCTGCTTCAATGCAAGGTCCTGACTTGCAGCATCCTGCCGTTGCCGCTGCGTCCTTTTCGCCGCCGCCTCCCTCTCCGACTGCGAAACTCGTGTGCTTCGCCAAACACTCTGAGCGAGGCGAGCTCTTTCATACATAGAGAGAGAGAGAGAGGGAAAGATGCTGGCGTGCTCCGAGAGGCTGGCTCTTTTCTCTAGCCGAGGCTGACATCTGACTGAATCTCTATCCCGCTCCTTTATCCTCACGACAGGGTCGGCAGCGACGCTCTCTGCTGCGGCCACCTCAGCTTGCCAGCCTTGCCCCGCTATGAGACGATACTGTGACAGCCGCCGCCGCCGCACTCCCTTCTCTTTCCTCGCCTCTCCTCCCTTCGCTGGCAGGAGTGTGCGCGCCTGCTGCCACTGCCACCGCTCCTGAGGCCGTCTGGGGCGGGCAGGTGGGAAAGCAAGCAAGGTGGCTGCGCTGTCTTCTTTTTCCCTCAGCGAAGCGCCGCCGCTTGCCGCCGCCACCTGCGATGGGCGAGGCGGCGGAGGCACCCGAAATGTCACCAAGGCAGCGAGTGCCTCCCCGCCGGGCCCTCCGCTCATCCCGCCAGGGCCGTGGCAGAGCCATGTGGGCTGGGCAGAACCAGGAAACACCCGCGGCTTGCTTTCCCGGCTCTGCCCAGCCTGCACGGCTCTGCCACGGCCCTGGAGGCACTTCCTGTCAGCCTCAGCTAGAGAAAAGAGCCAGCCTCTCGGAGCACGCCGGCGTCTTTCCCTCTCTCTCTCTCTCTATGTATGAAAGAGCTCGCCTCGCTCGGAGCGTTTGGCGAAGCACACGAGTTTAGCAGTCGGAGAGGGAGGCAGCGGCGAAAAGGACGCGGCGGCAACGGCAGAATGCTGCAAGTCAGAACCTTGCATTGAAGCAGCCCGGGGGGCACGTAGCCACCTCCCTCCAGCCCACCTTGAGGATTTGCCTTTTGTTGTTGGTATACTTGGCTTCAGGCGCTCCTGTCGCCGCCTTCCCTTTGCCTTCGAAGGTAAAGTGAATTATTTTAAAAACCTCCGCTCATCCCGCCAGGGCCGCGGCAGAGCCGTGTGGGCTGGGCAAAACCAGGAAACACCCGTGGCTCGTTTCCCCGGCTCTGCCCAGCTCGCACGGCTCCGGCGCGGCCCTGATAGGATGAGCGGAGGCTTTTAAAATAATTCGCTTTACCTTCGAAGGCAAAGGGAAGGCGGCCACAGGAGCGCCTGAAGCCAAGTGTCTCCTCAGGGCTCCGGTTGCAGGGAGGAGCCCTGACTGGCCGCACGTGGCTGCGCCAAATGCCGCGGCGTTACTGTAACGCCGCAGCAGCAAGGGAGAAGGAAAAGCAACAGTGGTGGAAGGTCTCCCGAACATCCAAGCTGTCGCTGCCCGCCCACCCGAGGATGCAACGGGGGGGGGGAATTAAGTCACCCCCGAAAAGACGGCCTAGCCGGTTTTTCGGGGGTCAAAAAAAAATAAGGCCCGGCCTTATTATGTGAGAAACACGGTATGTATGTATATGTATGTATGTATGTATATGTGTGTGTGTGTGTGTGTGTGTGTGTGTGTATATATATATATATATATGTGTGTGTGTGTGTGTGTGTGTTGATTTGTCTGTTTTAAATGTATGTCAAATAAATGTTTTTTCTAGAATAAAAAACAGAATTAGAAATAATCTGAGATATTTTATTATGCTTCATAGAAGTTCAAATTTAAACTTTTTTCTGCTACAAAAGACAGCTGTGGATGTTTCTATATAATACAGTACTATAGTTCAGAACATAAATGCTAGGTGACATGGTCTCAAGTCATCATGCAACCAGACCTGATTTTATGACCATTTTATCCCAATCATTAAGCAAATCACAAGATCACTAAATAGATGAATCCTACTTGCCCAGTTGATTTTCTTGTCAGAAGCCAGCTGAAAGGAAGGCTGGCCCAGTTGAGTAGTTAAGAAGCATTCCAGTTTGGATTCCACAGATAGAAGAAAGAATATGAGGTCAGACACTAAGGTATATTTCTGGCTTTTCCAGGGGAAAGCAGACAGTCGGGCATGATTCTTATGTACAACTGAGTCAATAAAGAAACCTAAGCCTGAGAGCATTTTGTTTGCACCTGACAGCTAGAAAGGTCACAAATCAGGATCACATGACAATGCAACCATCATAAATGTGAAGCTGCTGCAAAGTGCCCAAATTATAATTAATTGCATGATTGTGGAGGTGGTGCAATGTTATAACTTCAAGGATGGGTCATAAGTCACTGTTTCTGAGGACATTGTAATTTCAAATCAACATTAAATCAAGGACTACTTGTACTGTAATTGTAAAACATGTTTATTTACCTTTGATGGCACTTTGACTTCAATAAAAAATTATCCTATGGACACTTTTTTTATAGTGTAAAATCTTACATTAAGTCAAAACAGTGCTTTGGCAAATTCATTGGAAAACTTTGTGTTGAAAGAATGCAACATTTAAGATAAAAGCAGCCCTCTTAAACTCACTTCCAAACATCACATATATAGTGCTATACTTTCTCTTATCACATCCCTATCTCAGGATAAACTAATCACGAGATGACATCACATAATTATAAATTAACACTGTAAAATTAGACTAATTAAAAACCCACGTTTAAATCTAACACTACAAGCCAATGCCTTTCAATGTTTCTATCACAAATTATGTTTTATGATTCCAAGACAACTTGGAACAGAAATATTTCACAATGGCAAATATATCACAAATCACATCGCTTTTGTCCCTGAAAGTACAAAAACTCTGTTGGTAGAGTTCAACAAATAGGATGGGGAATCAAAGAGATCTTTAACTTCATTAATCCAGGATTTTTTTAAAAATCAGGCATTTTCTAACTGACAGTTTGAAAACTTTTATATACGTGTCAGAAAACATTTTCAACCTGCTCGAACAGAAATTTCCAATCAGGAGCCGCGAAACATTCAAGGAAGGAAACCTATAGAGCTACGGAGACCTAAGCAAGAATAGTTTAAACCTTGACTATAAAAATTAATTTCAATCTTTAATTTTATTTCAGATTTCAAATGCAGCCAATGGTCCTTTGGGAGGAAATGACGCCAACCCTGAGACCCGGCATACATTAGCGAGTCCCTTGTTTTCTTACCCCTTCAAGTTTCTTCATAATAATTTTACATTTTCATTTATTGCAAGGTCCCACCACTCACCGCCGTCGGGCTGTCAGCTAAATACGAGGCAGCAATTCCAGAGATGGGATTCTCAACAGCACTCCCCCCACCCGCGCATCTTGACCCTTCAATAACTCACGAAGGCAGAAAACAGCCGCCACCCACCCGGTAAAAAGAGAAAAGCGGCGCCCGCCATCATCTCACTCCTCCTTGACTCCGTCCGACTCACCTGCAGGTGGTTTTGCCCACACCGCCTTTCCCGCCCACGAAAATCCACTTCAGGCTCCGTTGCTCGATAATGTTGCTCAGCGTCGGCTCTAACGGCTCCACATCAGGCGCGTCTTCGAACTCTTCCGCTTCAGCCGACAGCACAGACGCCACCGCTGCCATCTTGGAACAAAATCACGTGACAAGATGCTCGGCTACACCATTTCAAAGCGGGGCTCTAATGTTAACAACCGGCGCATCAACATTTAACAGGGAGAGAAACGGCACGTCTTGTGGCCTCCTCTTGGACTTAAATCCTTAACGTCATCGTGTTAAATCACCGCGTCACAAACACATCTGACGCCAGAATAAACTACACCCCATACCTCTGAATGGTTGGTATATTCCTGTCTAAATATTTTTAACTGGATTGGTTGCTTAAGTACTTCTCCCGATTGGCCTCGGCATAAGCGGAAGACGACTCAAATACCTCCCCTCCTTTTCTCCGATTGGTAAAGGTAGGTTCATCTTAACCGGTGATTTAAGCGTCTGTTTTGATTGGCCGAAAGAGCTGTCGATTCTTGGGCCATCGGAGCGCCGTGCGCCTCAATCTGCAAAAAAAAAAAAAAAAAAAAAATCACTTCGACGTGCGCGTGGCCGGACCTTAACGACAGAGGCTTTCCCGGGATGCTTTGGGGCGGACTGGCTTCGTAATCGTTTCCCGTCATCCTCCGGGCGCGCGCAGGCTGGGTCAGGGAAGGGCTCGAGAGATGGCCGCGGCGCCAGGCGGAGAAGGCCCGGCTTCCGAGGCGGCAGGACCGGGCGGCGTCAACGTGTTCGCCAACGACGGTTCTTTTCTCGAACTGTTCAAGCGGCGCATGGAGGAAGCCTCTGCGTCGGGAGGAAAGAGTGGACGAGAAATGCCGATCGCCGGAGCCGAGAAGCGGAAAGAGACCGAACCGCGGCCAGAGCCTCCCGGGGACCCAGAGCCACCGGGAAAGAAGCGGAGCGGGAGCGCCCTCAGCTTCGTAAGGGATCTGGGCACTGACCTTTTCTCTTCTTCCCCTTTTATCCAACCCCGCCCCCCCCTTGGCCTTCCTCGAAGGACCGAGGAGCAAGAACCCTTTTTGTCAGTTTGCTTTCTCTCAACATTAGGATCTCTTGAATAAACGCAGGCAGTAATTCTCCAGGTGCCGCCTCTCTACGCTATTCGCTTCCACCAACCACCATCCCGTCTAGTATTCCCTTCTCCCCTATAAAAGAGATTACTTTCTATTAAAGCAATATGATGTTAGCAGGAGCAATGTCGCATTTTATTCTTCCTCCCCTCCCACCCACCCCCGGTCTGTTTTGAAAAGGCATCATATTGGACCCATCTTTCTAAGCATATTTTGGGGATTTGTGGCTGTTTAGTAGATCCCCCCCCACTTCCTCACTGTATTAGTTCCCCTTCCCCGCCCGAAATCCGAGTAGAAACATGAACAGATCCACAGTATTTTACAGGACTGTGATGCTCCATGCTCAACACCATTCATTCCTGGCAGGTTTATATGGTTTGCTGGGCTTCATAATATTGGCTGAATAATTATTACTCTATGCCATAACCCTAACCTTGATTTGATAAGGGTCTATGTGCAGGGGTCTCCAAACTTGACTGCTTTAAGACTTGTGGACATCAACTCCCAGAATTCCTCCTCCAGTCATGTTTGTTGGCTCAGGAATTCTGGGAGTTGAAGTCCACAAGTCTTAAACTTGCCAAGTTTGAAGATCCTTGGACGATGGTGACAGATGTCCCGACTGAGTTTTCCTTTTGTGAATGTGAAGCTGCCATTCTTGACATGCATATAATGTAGATTATTATTTTTTTTTGAAAATGGAAGCAATAGAGATGGGAACGCTTTGGTCTGTTAATAAGTAATGCAATGTGCTTTGCTCTTAGTTGTCTTTGGGAAAACTTCATTTTAGGCTGATTCAGCCTTTATTAAAGCACACATAAATTAAGTGGAATGTGTTAAAAAGTTTATCAAAATGTTTTTGAAATGAAATTGCTTCCCCCTTATGTTTGTTGCTAGTGAATAGTAACAAACGTTTCTTAATACATTGGGTTTTTTTTGTGTGTATTCACAGTTTTAAACTCATCAGTGTGTCTCCTGGGACCCAAATGAAATCTTTTTGTTCTTGTTAATGTGATACAATAAGTCTGAAATATACTGAACCATTTTTACTTGCACTGGCTAGGGAAAATTGCAAGTATTATTCATCCTACATTAAGCATTAATTATACTTTTGAACATGAGAAATAATAAAGTCTGTTCTGCATTAAATGAAATATGATAATCCTGGCCATATTTATTGACCTGTAATTCTAATTGGGTTCAATTGAATTTATTCCTAGGTATCTGTAGGCATTGTAGCCTAAACATTACAAATAAATATGTTTTATTTCCAGTCTTTAAAATGTTGGGTGGAAGTTTTTAATTATAAACTGTTTTCCAACATGTATGTTTTCATCACCATATATAAAACAATTTGTACTTGCAATGCATGTGGCATTGCTCCAGAAATGGATTGGGGAGGGAGTGCTGTACTATCTAAAAGTGATAATTGGAACCCCTGTTTTGTTTATTGCTAACTGAAATTGACATTTTCTATTTTAAACTGTCCTCTTCAACTTAAGATCAAAAATTGTGTTCAGTATAAAAACTGAATCACATACGTGCTTATATGGTATTGTAAATACCATTTTAAATGTATGCAGCAGGCCTTTGCAGTTATATCTAAGATTATATTAGCATATACCACACTTCCCAAGACTATCAAAAAGATAATTATTGATTTTGAATTAATGTTGTATTGATTCTGATAACTTTATTGCTTTCATGATTTTGAGCAAATAAAAGTTCTTCACATAATGTATTCCAGATTGTTATATTGTAGGGAAATAAAAGTAAAAATAGAATGGTGTTCCTATTTCCCACCAGGCAGCAAACCTGAAAAGAAATTGGAATACTTCCATTTCTTGTTACTTGTTAATGTCTTTTAATGTTTGGGCTTAACTGTACAGATGTATTGGTGAACACTGCTAAGGTGCCCTTTTACCCTCCTAGCACAGCGGTGTAGGTAACGCTCGGCAGCTCTGTACAGACTGACAGGTGTGATGGCGAGCTAAGATGATCTAATTGAAGGACTCCCTATACCGTTATATAGTGGGCAACATTCCCCTTGCAGCTCCCAGGCTCGTATAACGGTTGCAGTCTTCTATCCCTTCACCCAGGTGGGCAAGCGGAGAGGGGGCAGCAAGCTAGCCCTGAAGACAGGAATGGTAGCCAAGAAACAAAAGACAGAGGAGGAGGTAAGCTGGGACACATCCGGAATAATAAATTGAGAGATGAGAGGCAGCATGGAGCTTCCTAAAAGTTTTAGTGAAGAAAGTAGCACTGTTGTTTTCATTTCAGCATTCTAGAAAGTGAAGTTGAGCTCTTTTACCTTCATGCTACCCTAGTTTAAAATTGACAATGGGATCTGTCCTTATGGGCTTGAGAAAATAGTGAATTGTTTCTTGTTCATTTGTAATAAGAACATTTTCATTCATTTCCCAAATCTGCTTTAAGTGAGATTTTTTATGTTTATTTTTGGTATATAAAATGCATTTAGCTCCAAAAAGATCAGAACAGCAATGTACCCTGTTTCTCCAACAATACGGCCTCCCCCAATAGGAAGTCCCAGCATGTTTTATAGGCATGAAATGAAATTAAGCCCCTCCCCCCAAATTAAGGCCTATATTAAAACATGCGGAATGAGGGGGGGAATGGTGGGGGGGGGGGCTTGCCGTTAGGAAGTACTTTTGTTGCACACCCGGATATGGTGCTGCCTGCGTTGACCCCGATACGAAGTGCCCCACCAACGCCGAGGTCAACATCCAAGCCGTCGCTGCCTGCCCAAAGATGCAAGGGGGGGAATTAAGTCACCCCCGAAAAGACGGCCTAGCCATTTTTTCGGGGCTCAAAAAAAAAATAAGACCCAGCCTTATTATATGAGAAACACGGTATTATCCTATTGGCCCTAACTGTACCTTATGTAGAAGATTAGAATGAGACAGGGTAATCGAAAGTCCATGCGGTAAGTATTGTGGCTGACATCTCCAATAAAATTACAAACTCTGGTTTCAATTGAATGGCTTTCCTAGATTTATATATAGGGTGATGTTCATGGGAACTGGTACCCTAAGAATGCTTTTAAGTCCAATTCTTTAAATGTGTATTCTGTAACTGGCTCCTTTTTTTTCTGTTATAGGTTTTGACAAATAAAGGAGATGCATGGGCGAAATATATGGCTGAAGTGAAAAAGTACAAAGCCCACCAGTGCAGTGATGATGATAAAACCCGGCCTTTAGTGAAATAACTTTTATCTCCAGCCTGGACTGTCTGTGATGTACATAATTATTTAAAATATCAAAGGAGTAGTGCTGTCCCACAAGACTGAATGCTGCCATGGCAGCAGGAGACTTGCCATACTTTTATATTTGAAAACTTAAGAGCCTCCTTCACTGATTCGTTTATTGTTTTCCCCTTCTTCTGAGAGCTAAGAACTTTGACTTAGTTGCCAGATTTTTAATTTGTAACACCCTCTCTCCAAATAGTGGAATTGGTCTGACATTTCTTTCCCCAAATCATCAGGCATCAGGCATTCCTTTGCTGATAAACCTTCAGCATTGAGCCTTTGCTTAACTTTTTCTGTACCCCTGAACTTTTTACTATAGTACATGCTAAGAAGCCCTCTTTATCAAATTCAGTACCTTTTACTGCTGAAGATAAATTTAAAATATGGTTGCAAATAGTAGGTACTGCAGACTGTAATAATTCCAGAGCTTGAAGTAATCCCTCTCTTCACTATGAAAGACAAATGAATCTGGATCTCTTGATACGTTTAATGTCTGACTGTTCTGTAGTTGCATTTTTGCCCGTATTGTTCTCTTCCCTTACTTCAATTTCACTGCATATTGCAGCGAATTATGGAGTTTTGTATTTAATTCCAGCTGCTGCTTAAGTTTTTTCCTAGTCTTTTCCTATGCATGCTCCAAATCTAATACTGGGGGGTATCCTGTGCCTGTCTACTATCTAAGAAGCAAAATGCTTGGTCTGTTTTTGTACCAAGTATTATATATTTGAGAAAAATCACTAAAATTACCTTAGGTGCTCTCTGCAATGAATTCTAGATACTATAATTTTAACCTTTGACTGCTCCTATGCTTTACTCCCAGGTGTTATGAGCAGAGGTCCTTGGCTCTGAAAGCAAAAGCTTAGGGCTGTAGCCATTGTATTGATAATGGCTTTTTGCATGCATGGGACCTATGCTCTTTTACCACTTGTTTACATATGCTGAGTTTGATTTTTTTAATACTTTCCATAAAATACTGTTGAAATGGAAAGCACCTGATGTGCATTGGACACTGAAATTGAGCAGGGCAATTTCATATAAGGGCTTCTGGTACAATCCCAACAATCGAGTTCAAGTCAGGAAACACTAATGAGAACTTCTGTTTTCTGGCTGGCATAGAGAAGCTATTTTTTGTTGTGGGATTGGGTTTCACTTCTAAATGTTATCCAGTTTGTGCCATTTTCTCTTAATAGATTGGGCTGGTTTTTGAGCTGCACTATTAATGTGATATTCACAAAGATGGATTTGTACTCTGGAGAAAAACAAACTAAGGTTTGATCTCACTGTTTGGGTCTATTTTTCCCTTCTTCAATCATCATTGTTCATCACTGGACCAGATCTATTAAATACATTTCTGCCTTGAAAAGGCCATTGGTTTCCACATTATCTTCGGCCTTTGGGTAATGCATTTGAAGAACAATGCTTTCTTTATATCAGGGTTCTTTAAGCATTTTTGCTGGAATTTCACATAAAACATCTGAGTGCTCTTTAGTGTAACTAAGAACTCTCATTGCATAACAGGTTTTACATGCACAATGAGCATGTAGGAACTATTTCTGAATATGGTAAGGGAGTGGTTAGATGAAACAAAAATTCTGTTTTTGCCTCTCATAATATGAGATTGCTGTTAAAACACCAGAAAAAAATAAAGATTTAGTATTTTATTTTCAGCCTCCTGTAAAGTGATGCCAATTTTCTTCTTTGTTATATACTCGATCAGGCTTGCGACTTCATTGCTTTTGACCTCTACAGCCCAGATTAGAGTACTAATCATCCTTAATACAGTAATATTTTTTAAATAATAGAATTGTGTTGTGGGTATTTGTTGGTATATGTTTCCCATATATATATTTTCTAGATAGCATTATTTAAACATGCAAAGTCATTAAAACTCTACTAGGTATAACCATAGCATCCAGATTTTCTTTTGCTTATGTGTTGATAAGAATTCTTTAAATACACATGACACTGAACAATAGTTATCAGAAGGTTGAAAGCTAAATGAGTTGTTCTGCACTTAAAATGATTAGAATTGTTTTCCATAAATATGCATTGTAAAGTTAGAGAAAATGGATTATTTTTCTTATAGTAATTGTGCAGCCAAAAAAAAATATTTCTAAACTGTCATGGTTTGCACATGCAGACACTACTAGGTTCATGCATTGTGCTAAGCCCGAATGAGACAGCCCATGTTAAAGCTTACCATATTGCATAAACAGTTATAATTACATAATGCAAAAAATGGCATTTCTGTCTATAAACTAGTGAAATGTTGTATTTTGCTTTCAGTTAATGAAAAAAACAAGATGCATTTGCCTTTTTCTGAGTTATATTTACCATATTTTTGAAAAAAAATAGCAGTTAATGGAATAGGTAAAAACCATAATAAGTGGAGCATGAAAACAGTTCCTTTCACAGTACACAAGCTGTTGCTCATATTTTCCAGAAGTTCTTTGACTATTGCATGTACTTTGTATTTTGAAATATATCTTTTACTAAATGATAGTCACTGCTGTTCAGAAATAACTTCATTTTTACTGCCCAAGCTATTTTCATATCAAAGTTACAATTTTGGGTTATATTACTAGGTTTAATCAATCATATAAGCCACATGGAATTGATCCTCTGTTCTGTGGATTTTTTTTCTTTTTATGAAGTAAACAGTAATTACCTTACCAAGTGATTCTTTGGGATAGAAAAAAGAAGTTATTGATAACACTTCTCAAGTGATAGTCCCTTATAGTAGACCGCCCATCTTTTGCATCTCTCCCCCTTTTTCTTTTTGATTTTTCCAAACCAGTAAGGAGAGGGGCTTTAAATATCCTTACATGCAGCACTGGAGATAGTGATCTCACCTCTCGAAAGGAGCTATGCCACTTTTTAAAGTCTTTTATATATTGCCCGCTCCAATGTTCTGAGTGGCTACAGGGAATTCATAGATGAAGTGAAATGTTTGGCACAATATTGTACCCTGTAGGAGACTGCTTGTCCTGAAAGATATATGCCATGTT